GTATAATTACATTTACTGATTGAACAGAGAATCTTAGAGTTGTCTTGCTAACTAGCAACGCTATAGCAGTGCCTGTTCAAGGTTATTAACTTGAAGGTCAATAAATTGTCTGCTTAAATGTGTCCATTGTTAGAAGCAAACTGTATTTTTCACTAAGCCAGTGTGTTTTCATGGCTTTTTACTCTGTTTTGTAAAAGCAGTCTGATGATAATGGCAGTTGGCAGAGTGTAACATTAACTGCTGTTATGTGATGCTGTGGTAAAAGGCTGTTTGTCTCAGAGTTAATTTTTCTGCTTTGTGTGGTTGAACAAGAAACCATATCAAGATGGTTCAGAGTTAGGTCTCACAGGAAGTAAGAAGCTTTCTTCTGAATGTGAAAAAGCAATGGCGTAACAGTGAACAATTCAAGTTGCTTTAAGAAAGATGTTTGTATTTGACAGAAAATAAACCCCCTTGATAATGAGGAATATCAGACCCATTTTCATTCATACATTCAAAATGAATCTGATCCTGGCTGAGCAGACTCTGTTCACTGTGCTGATGAACTCTAACAGAAAAATGGGATGGAGAACCCTTCAAGGACTTAATATCTCTCAGCGGGTGAGATTTTTGTAATTTGAAAGGAAAGATTCAATCATCACTGAATTCAATTTGAGAGTTTATTTTAAAGAGATTGACATTGACACCAAGGATGGTTGTGCCAGACAAAATAATGAAGCAAAGCTAAATGCTTAATTCATTATGAGTGTTAGTCCTATCCAACCCAAGCAGCAGAGAGTGAAACAGACAGACAGGAAGACTGACAGACAGACACCATGAGCGGGAGAATGAACAACAAACTCTCAATGCACGGGGGTCACGTCTGAGAAAATGCAGCCAGGAAAGTAAATTAAAGTAAGCGAAATGGAAAGTGAAAGGGCAGGATGTGGAAAACAGGGAAAGTGTGAGAGAGAATAATTTATCTTGAGGGAGGGAGTCAAAGAATGAGCAACAGCAAGAGCACGAGGAGGTGGGGAAGAAGGTCAGGAGGACTGACACTGCAGAGGAGTCGTAGTTCCCACCTGCTGTTTATTTGCCCTGAGATAGAGTCCCGCTTGTTCATTATTGACTGGGATCATGGCCTTTATTTTACAACGTACATGTGCGACAACACCAGCAGCCAGCATCTTAAAAGCCTGATAGCCTCTGTGGACACACACATTCATGCACATGCACACACTCAGTGGCAATATTACACACTCACTCACGCTGTTTTGCTGAATGATACTGGAAACAACGCCATTAAATTCAGTTTTGTGAGCGGCCTCTGATGCAACAACAAGGCTCTGTACTGTAATTCCACAGTTTAATAAAGACTGCTGTTTTATCGTGTGTGTAATGTGTGTGTGTATTATTATGTGTGTACTATGTATAGATATAGCTGGGGGCGCTGTGCCCTTGTCCATGCATGCACCACAATCACCATCCAGCAATCTAATAGCAGCAATCCTCCACACAGGACATCTTTAAAACCCTTGGTGCATTTCTCAAGGTCAATCATTATCCTCAAACACACACACACACACACACACACACACACACACACACACACACACACACACACACACACACACACAAACACTCGGCACACACTGAGATCAAAAGCTCCTTCAACACGCCCACATACCCCCGGTCACCTTCCCAATCAAATCCTCTCACTACGCAGCCCATCATAGCTCCTTCTCTCCTCGAGCAGAAACATCACGCTCACATTTCTCTCCCTGAAGCCTTAACCTTCTGTGTTTCACAAACTCCCATGTCTCCTGAACTCCTCACTCTGCTGCAGGTTTTAAGACTTAAAGGGAGATTCAGGTTTCACACAACTTGTGTCTTATTTTCATAGCTTTGACCATCATTCCTTTCGGTTATAAAACGGCACTTACCAATTTAAAAGAAGTCAGACAGGGCACGAATCACGAGCGCTCAGATGATCATACAGGTTTGGAATAAAATGAACAATGTGGAATTAATGGTGAGACTGCAGGTTTACTTACTGTAGGTTTGAACAAACTACTCCACGGTTAGAAAAACTTCAGTGGAAAAGAAAATGAAGGCAAACTGTAACATTTTTGCCTGAGCTGCCCATTGAAAACATCCATCACAGTTTACTTCATGTTTTAACTTTAATCTCCAACACATATAAAAATTTGGTGCTCATTCTATTTACATACAGTAAAACAATGCAGAGCTTTGTGTTCTTACTCCCTGTTTGCTTATGCTTAAATGAACTAATTGTGTATCCACTTGCTTATTTCCACATTCATTGGACACAGAGCATCATTAGCATTCATCTGGAGTCGTGTTTGTGTCCACCTGATGAATGTAAATCCAATCTTCGCTTTACTTTTAGCTATGTTTTTACTTTCCACAAAATGATCTGGCTCCGCTATGTTCAGCTAGTCACTAACTTAATCTCTCTGAAGCTTGGTGCTGAGCAGTCGGTTTATCAGAGCTTTTTCACTGAAAGCATCAAACTTCTTCCTGCATTGTGAAATAAGGTTTTACACACAGTCATGTTAATGTAAAAATATTGATTACAGCAGCTTTAAATGTTGTAACAAATGTTGTGTATCTCAGGCTCTACAGGGGAGTTTAGAGATCTGGGACAGTTTGTATCAAGCTTGCCGAGTATCACAAGCCACACTACACACTTAAGCAAAATGGATATCATTGCAATAAATGGTTAAAACCTTGATGAGAGTATCTTGACTAATTGTTTGGATTTTTACTTTTCAATCAGCAGTTTAGATAATCTGGCTAATTTGAGCTCGATCTGTCTGATAATCTGACTACTTGTGTATCTTGCTCCTTTGGACTTTGTTGTGGCAATGGCGCCATGCTCTTAGATCGCAGCTCTTATTCCGGTGAGAAAAACGTTATAATAACCAAGAGAAATGATGACCAAAATCACACAAATGACAAAACCAAAATGTTCCTGTGAAGAGATGCAGCAAATGGGATTTTATAAATATATCAAACACCCTCTGTTGGCGATTTGGGTCTCTGTCTCTCTGTCTCTTTCTTCATCTTCTTTCCCCCAGGGGTGGTTGAAAACTATCACTTTGCCACTGTGTCCATTCACTGGAAAAAGACATCAGCAATCAGCAGCTGTCAACACCAAGGCCAAACATTTTCACCCACATTCCTACATTTCTCTGTCACCTTCAGAACTCTTTCTGTCCTGTCTATCCCTTGTCGTCTTCTTCCATTATCACCTCAATCTTCTTTTATTTAATTTCATGTCACTATTCCCATCCTCCTCTCTCTGATAATTATGTCCTCTTCCTCTTATCCCTCTCCTCAGTGATCCTACAATGTCTTATTTCCAGTCTCCCATCTGTGTCTCTTCACACTACCTTACAAGCTTGGCAGTAGAAAGGACAGTTGTGTTATGCTTCAGGTAGCTGTCACACTGCTGTGCTAAAAGGGTTATACTGGGGGTGGGAGTGAGTGCCTGTTTTTATGTAAATATGTGTGTTTCTGTAGGAGTCATACTGTTGTAGTAAAGAGGTTATACAGCTGGATCATTACCAATGAGGTTTAAGAGCAGAAGATAGAGAAAAAAGATACAGTGGAGGCTAGAAAGACAGGGGTTTGGATACATAAAGGAGTGGAAGGACTCAGTGGCGACGCACGGTTGTGATTGGGGATTTCAGTTCTCTGGCAAGTCTTTCCTTTCTCAGACACCAACAAGTCTGCCCATATGCTGGGAGCGATCTGCCCGCCAGCTCTGTGGGGTGGAGTTTTTTGTTTTGTTTTCAAGAAGTCGAGACTACGAACAGCGATAAAGTTAGAAACCCAAACAACTTAATGAGGAGCAGGAAATAATGAGCTGATTGCATGATTAGAGGCATAATTCTTCAGCACACTGAAAAGCCCCCACAGCCTTTTCCTATTTACATATATTTTCTGGATCTACTGCATGAAAGCAGCGATAATATGAAGTGGCGTCCGTGTTCAGGTTTCACTGAGGTCGCTCTTTGCTCAGGTTCAGGCGACCAGAGTAAAATGGCCATGAAATCCTCCACCCATCGCTCACTTTGATTGTTGAAAAGACAGACAGGAAACTAGCCAGCCATGCTGTCCAGAGGGGCAGAGTCAGGTAAAGGTAATTGCTTAGCAAGAAAATGAAACAGGAGATAGGATCAGGAGGAAAGGGAGAGGTGACAGGCTATAATTGGAAATGGAGAAAGAAGGAAGATGGAGGAAAAAGAGTAAGAGAGAGAGAGTGTTAGATAGAAAGATGAGTGGTTGGCTGATACACCTCATGCAAACCTGCTGTCATAAGCCATATGCACTCTGCCACAACGTGACATAACACATGGCCACACATGTCATGTTAGCACACTTGGGGGTGCAGCAGGGGTAAGCAGAGCTATACATGTCTCCAACCAGAGTGCATAAACAAGTCTTCGGCTTTTTTCAGCAGCCACACAAGTTCTCCTTTTTTTTAATGTGCACAATTAACGGCTGCACAATACGTACAGAACAAATAAGTCATGTACTAAGTTGACGTAATGAGCAATATTACAGCCACAAGACAGGGGCTGAGATGAGACTGATGTGATTGTTTAATTTGTCCGACAACATGAAACATGACAACATTCCAGCAGTGGAGGTTTATTTACATGCATCACTCTGACAGCTTACGAAACCAATTATGAAATGCCTCTAGTGGTACACAATAATGTTATAACAAGGCGTAGATGGTAAGAAAGCATGACCAGGCACGGACAAAGACACACATAATCTCTCCTCCGCGTCCTCTTTCCTTTGCTGCAAGTATCTGAGGGCAAGTAGGGAGACTTGTCAGGGTGGGTAGTCGTCAACCCTTAAGATCTGCAAACACGCACTGTTGCATTTCAAGGGTTTCTGTGCTCTATTGGTAAAAACACAGCAACCTCTGAGGATCAACTGTACATGCCTGTGTGTGTGAGTGTGTATAGTGTAAGTGGACATACCCAGGACTGAAGTGTGGTCCCTGATGCCTCCTCATCTGTCCAGCTGTGTCCGTATGTGAATCTATTTTCCTCTCCTCTTTGCCCACAAGTTGCAGACCCTGCTCCACACGTGCCAGCTCTCCACTCCTCAGGTCCCCCTCAGTCTGTCTCTGTCTCAATCTGAGACCCTGGCATCAGCAGCTGTGCCAAACCTGCCACTCATCCCCCTCTTTTCTCTCCTTCTCCCTCCCTCCCTCCCGCCGACAGGCTCGTGTGTACACACCTCCTTTCACTCCTTGTTGGTTATTGTCCCCAAAAAATTATCCAGGCATTCATAGGAGGGGGGGACTCATGTGAGATTTTCCTTCCTCTTCAGACAGTTTTCCTCAGCGGGTCAGGGCACCCTCGATCTCCCCCGGCGTAGCTGTGGGATTATGAGAAAGGAGAGGGAGGATGGGGAAGGAGCGTGCTGTTGCTGTAGCTGTTGCCTCTGCCTCCTTCAGTATGAGCTCCTCTCTTTCGCTTGGCATGCTTTTCATCTCTCTCTCTCTCTCTCTCTCTCTCTCTCTCTCTCCCTCCCTCGCTCTCTTGCGTTCTGCTCCCTTACTCTTTATCTCTCCCCCACCTCCCTCCCTTTTCCCAGTCACTGACTATCTGCTGCTGCTCCAGCTGTTTGGATTCACAATTCAGTGTGCTGCAGGGTGTACGGCTAAGGGAGTCTCTCTAAACAGCCAGGCAGGAATAAAAGCGAAGAGACTGAGAGCAGAAATTTAAGAGGCGGAAAAACAGGAAAGAGAGAGAGAGAGAGAGAGAGAGATCAGCATTGTGAGCCTGGAAAAGAGGACAATAAAGAGTAATAATTCAAAAACAAGTTATGACGTGCATTACAAAAGCCAAAACCAAGAAATGTTATGATTACAGTTAAATAAATATAAATGAATATGATTTAATAAAATACATTATTCCCTGTCGATCTTTGAACCAGACTAAACGTCTACAGCCAAGCTAGCAGCTGTGAGGTTGTATTTCGACACAGTGCTTTAAGCTAAATGCTAACGCTGGCATGCTAACATGCACACAATGCCAACGCTAACATACTGGTATTTATCAGGTGTAACATTTACCAGCTTAATTTAGAGCCTAATTAGCACTAAACAGCTATGGCTGATGGGAATATCGTTAGTTTTGCAGGTATTTTATCATTAACCAAAGGAGGAGAACATTATGTAACTTTTCTACTTTAAAATAACAGCTTCAAACTCATTTCAATATTACACTGACTTGTAATTGGTTGTCACTCTGCGCCACATAGACAACACCTGTTCTTGCACTTTAAAACTTCGGTCTCCGGGTCGGTCGGTAGGAATGTGTAACACTTATGGCATAAACCACCAACTATGTCGCTGACTTTGATGAAACTGGATCATTTTTTATGGTTTATCTGTCCTCTGGTTGCTCCGCCTCAACTCTTGGAGTTTGTTGAGTAAAGCGAAGTGCTGCTAAATGTAGCTGCTGTTAGCTAGTTAGATCAGTTAGTTAACTGTGCTGCCCCGACAGTAAGCTCCGGGGGGAGTGGGGCGGCGGCAATGCAGACGTGGAGGGACACTGGAATGACCGGTATTTCAGTCTGGACCAAAGCGGTTGACATTTTGGAAAACAGGATGGTGGTCCAAATTAAATGATTGGCCGGGCTTACAAACCTGTCACTGCTAAAGATAGAAGTTTTTTCTTAAATATTTGATTTATTGATTTCTGTTTGGATGTAAAGAGAATTTAAATTAATATAACAATAAATCTTCTGAAATGCATTACCTACCCTTGCTTTAAACATCTTATATGTAGCGGACGGAATATTCCTTCATCCAGATGGCTATAAAAGTCTTTGAGGATTCAGGAAATACCTCCAGAACAGCAGAAAGCATTGTTAAACTTTAAACTTTCTGGGCTTATCAAAGAACACCAGAGATTTATTTTTCAGAAAAACAGAAGCTTAGCTCTGTGACTTGAATATAATGACAATACATGACACACAAATTGAAGCTAAAAGCAAAAAAGCTTGACCTACTACAGCAGGTTGTTTCAGAGCCGGGGCACTGTGACTGCATCCGGTCTCCTCTTTATAGCCTCATCCTGGGAACGACGACACTCATATGGGGTAAGCATGTTAAAAAATGGGAGATAATCCCACTGGTGCCTTAAAGGCAATGCCGATACCAATGTAAAGATATAAAAAAAGTTGGTTATGTGAATTCATCTATTGGATCTTGTTGGTAATATTGCTGCAGCAGTGGCACCAAACTGTTTCTGATGTAGTTTTATGATCATAACATACAAAAGTGGGATTTAGGTTCCAAAAATTACTCTCTGGGGATGTCATTCTTCCAGTGGGTTTGTTCTGTTTAATCACCTCCCCCACTTTGCCTGAAGCACACATAGAGAGGGAGCGAATGAGAGAGAGAGAGAGAAAATAGACATTTTTATTGTTCGGTCCTGTTGCCTTGTCAGAGTAAATCAGATCACAGAGTGCTGAGGTTCAAACCTACACACACACACACACACACTCACAGAAACACACAAAGAGAAACACACTCTCCTAGCCTGACTGACTGCCCCTGAGGTCAGTTAATAGCTCATCGCAGGAAAGGAGAAGTCTGGCCTGCGACCCTAAGGCCAGGGGTCGGGCATGTCATGATGGCTGGTGGAGGCCAAGTCCACTCCAACATCTGAGCCAATCTGACCCACCCACCCACACACACATGAACATACGTCACCTCAGTGCAATTATGAATTAAGCGGTCATGTCCTCCAAATTACAAAAATGTATCTTCTTACTAACCTCTAGTGGTATCAACTCATGTAGTTCTTATTTTTATTTATTTAATTTTTATTTATTAATTTTGTTCCACTAGTACTTCCATGCCCAGGAATGTCCAGGAATGTTATATTACCCTTTTGGTGTTATTTATAGGAGGTGCTGCATCAGAATAGCCAATGACTGATATGGGACAACTCTCCTGACCAGTGTTGGCAAGTTTCTTGAAAAGTGTAGACAATTACCCATATTTGTCACTGATTGAATAAGTAATGTCATTACTTTTACTAAATACTGAACAGCAGACATACTCAACAAAATACATTAGTTACATTAATCTGCTCTGTTTGCTTAATCTGCATATGCTTCCTGTTACAGAGCCCAGTTCTGTAAGGTACCTTTAAGCAAATCCACAATACTCCACATTTCGCATGTTCTGTTCCTTAACACATGTAAAATACAGACATTTTTATGGCAATCAGTTAAACAGCTGTCGAGACATTTCACTCAAAACCACAGATGTCAGTGTCATGGTAGGACAAGATATGCAGTCAGGGGATCGCCAAAGTCATTAGGGTACATCGTCTGGGGACCACAATTGTCACACCCACATCTCAAAGTATTCAACACATGTAGAAATGGAATACAAGATATTGTGATTTAGCAAGCAGCCAGCCAACAGTTTGGACTGTATTTCATCAATAGCTAGCACAGAGTGAATGAGGTGAACAAAACCCAGCTGACTTCTTAATGTAGGCCTACCAGTGGTTAATGTTAGAATTTTAGCTAAGAAGACACAACATGTAAATTAAGAGAACTTTGTTTTTACCAGAAGACACATTCATACTCTTTTTTGCAAAGGACAGCTACCTCTCCACACCTGCACCAAGCTAACACATTCAGCCTACTCTACCTGTTCACTGACTGCATCCAACCATCCTGGTAAGACAGCAAACAAGCTTCCTGAAGTGGGTCAGCTTGTTTCAAGTCAAGGAACATTAACTGTAAGGTAATTAGTGAATCTGAAATTGTAATTCCTTCCACTACACCACTCTACGAAGAGAAGAAGGTGTTCTTTTCAAATAGTGACCCAAATGTTTGTATTGTGTTTATGCTGTTAAAGTTTGATGACTTGATTCACGAGCAGCAGAAAGCACCAAGTGGTATCACTAGGATCAGTTTTGTCTCACTGTCTTACATTAAGAAACAGACAAATGTTGCGCTGGAACAACTTGGAGGCACACAGTCACAATCCTGTCAATTAGAGGTGTTTTATCTACAGATAAATCCACTGCAGCAGTGACTGTCATGACCCAGTCGGATTAGAGCTGCTCTTATCTGATGACAGTGAAACCATTGAGCTTTAAATGAGTGGTGCAGATCTAGCTTTCTTGTCGTTGCCCATGCCTCAGTTCAAGAGCCATCTTTTGCAAATCTATTTTAAGAAAGTAGGTGTTGGTTACATTTTTATGTGCTCCTAAAAAGATAAATGGATGACATCCTGTGAGAACCCGGGACATAATTTGCTGCAACATTTGTAAGCTGAGCCATTTTTTCTAATCTTGTAATATGAATTATGTTGACATTATTGATGGTATGCCGTCTGACGGAAACACCAGAGGAGCAGGTGGTGTTTTCCCACTGCTGTTTACTTTATGAACAACCTCTCACTGTACAAATGATTAAATGGAGTACCAGAACAAATGAATGACTATAACTTCCTTGGTGGACCACATTTTTCAAATTTTACAATGCACTTTTGTAACAGCTCTTTAAATCAGACTATTGCATTTGTTTATTCACACAAATAGTTCTGGATTGGTCCCACCTTCTGCTTCAAGGTCATGAAATAATTTCTGTCGCTCAGCTCCTCTGACAGTTCTGGTATTTGTTTCATGGCTCTACCTTGAACGATGGCAAAGATATCCTTGTGGGTGTACAGTGACTGCATACACAAGATGTCTGCACAGCGGGTGCAGAGCATGAAGATTATGGCTGCAAATGTAAGAATGTGATATCAGCGTGGGTCACACACGGCAGCCAAGTGACAGTCTCCTTTTTCTCAAAGCCCCACATTTGGGAGGACTTTCATTTGCACTGACATTTAGGACAGAATAAGATGACATTTGAGTTGTGAGTGTTTGTGGGATGTGAATCAGACATAAATGTATGAGCTAGCTCGGGTGGAATATAGCAGAAACTAAGTGGTACAAATCCTACCTGTTTAAGAGAGCTGAATGTGAAAAAACTGCTTCATAGTTGCATTAAGAATCAAATGCATTCGAGCCAAATACAACAGAATCTATTTTACACTATCAATAGGATTTTATTTCATTTGTGGTGATGATCTATGCTCACACTTACCTCTCCCTGTCACCTTATGCTTAAGCACCTCACGATATGCAAATCAGTTCTATAATGAGAACAACTTCTCAGCGTTGAAGCAGGAAATGTGATTTGGACATGCATACATTATGGGTTTCTTTTCTTCTTCTGGTCTACATGTTCTAATCAGCAGCTGTGTCATGAAAATAATCACAGCCTTGTTCTTTACTGTTGTGTTTGGCAACTTCTCTGCATTTCCGCCTGTTTGAAATGGAGACAGTCAAGAGCCAAGAGGAATTTCATCACTGACCGTGGTCACACTCACAAAAATATCACACACTTCTCATATGACCTGAGCTATTTCCCATCAAGTGACTCTATACTGAGGATGTGGCACTCTGAAACCCTCTCTGTATATTGTATACATAATATTCAAGCATCACTCACAACGTTAAAGATCCCCTCCAGACTATATTACAACATACCATATAAATAGCCTGCTTGGAACAATAATGTGTGTCTGATACGTTAGATATAATAACTTCCACATTCAAATTCTCAGATTCAAGTTTCTACATCACACTTGTGGACCAGGA